TAATAAAGGAAGGTTTCCTCAGAAACCCAAGGAGGGGTCGCTATGAGCCGGGTCCAACTCGACTCATAGGCACATAATAACAACAACATTTCCTTAATAAATCTCATAATCATGAGTATTGTCTGTGAGTTCTATGTGGCCAGTGCAATGAATTATCGAACTCAGCAGAGAAGTACTGAGTGTCATGGGAGGGATGGTTGGTGTTAGAATTGGTAAAAAGATTGGAAGAGAGGCATGCCTTCAGGCACAGCAGAGGGGAGACTGTCCCAATCAAAGAATGTATCCTAAGTGGTCCTGAATCTGAATTGTAACCTGTTATTTCTCTAATAAACCCCATAATTACGAGTATTGCCTATGAGTTCTATGTGGCCACTGCAATGAATTACCAAACCCAGCAGAGAAGTAGCGAGTGTCGTGTCGTGGGAAGGATGGTTGGTGTCAGAATTGGTAAAAAGGCTGGAAGGTAGAGGCAGGTCTGGCCTCAAAGGAATAAGCCTCAGGCTGTTGATGGTGATTCTCTCTCTCCCCCCTCAAGAAGCTAGAGGTCAGAGGATATCATCCCCATGCCCCTTCAGCACAAATGTATCAATTCCAGAATGCTTAATTGGGCTCAGGCAAAACCTGTACTAGACCAAGCAGCAGCGATTGGAACAAAAAACGGTTTAAAATCATGGAAAAATCAGGATGGTTTAAAATCAGGAAAGGCATGCCTTGGGGTTGTATCCTGTCACCAAACTTATTCTATCTGTATGCTGAGCAAATAAAACAAGAAGCTGGTCTATATGAAGAATACAGCACCAGGATTCGAGGAAGACTGATTAACAATCTGTGATATGCAGATGACACATGCTTGCTTGCTGAAAGCCAAGAGGACCTGAAGCACTTACTAATGAAGATCAAAGACTACACAATCTTCAATATGGATTACACCTCAACATAAAGAAAACAAAAATCCTCACAACTGGACCAATAAGCAACATCATAAGCAACAGAGAAAAGACTGAAGTTGTCAGGGATTTCATTTTACTTGGAACCACAATTAATGCTCATGGAACCACCAGTCAAGAAATCAAATGACGTATTACTACATTGGGCAAATCTGCTGCAAAAGACCTCTATAAAGTGTTAAAGAGCAAAGATGTCACTTTGAAGACTCAAGTACACCTAACTCAAGCCATGGCATTTCACTCATCTCATATGCATGCAAAAGCAGGACAATGAATAAGGAAGATCAAAGAAAAACTGGTACATCTGAGTGTGGTACTGGCAAAGAACAATGAACATACCATAGACTCCCAGAAGAAAGAACAAATCTACCTTGGAAATACAGCCAGAATGCTCCTTAGAAGCGAAGATGGTGAGACTTTGTCTCATGTACTTTGGACATGTTATCAAGAGGATAACAGGAGTCCCTGGAGAAGGGCATAACGCTTGGTAGAGGGTCAGTGAAAAAAAAGAGGAAAACCCTCAACAAGATGGACACAGTCACTGCAACAATGGTTTCAAACACAGCAACAGCTGTGAGAATGGTGCAGATTAGGCAGTGTTTAGTTCTGTTGTACAAAAACAGCTGTTAAGTCAGACACAACTCAACAAACCTAACAACAATCCTAAGTAAGAGCAGGAATCCATGGGTGGCACCAACAATTAAGCACTGGCCTACTAGCCAAAAGATTGGCAATTCAAACCCACCCAGAGGCACCTCAAGAGACAGGGTTGGTGATCTACTTCAAAAAGGTCACAGCCTTGAAAACTATGGAGCAGTTCTACTTCACCAACAGGGTTACAAGGAGTTGGAATCAACTTGGACAGCAACTAACAACAAAGTATAAGTCTAATGGTCCTTGCAGCTCTAGTCTTATCTCTGAAATTGACACCAAAGGGTCATAATCATTACTCTGAGCAATCTATTCTGTATCCCTCCCTTTGGGTGATCAACCTTTCCCCAATCCATGGAGATGAGGAAGTTAAACCAGCTGGGTGACCAAGACATAGTCAATTAAATTAGCCTATTTCCCACCATCAGAAACTGATCCTAGCCTAGCTAATTAGAGTCCTCTTATGGTCTTTCAGCAGAGCTAAGGAGAAAAGAGGAGCCCTGGTGGCACAGTAAGGAGGTTTGGTGATTCGGTAGTTAAAGCATTTGGCTACTAACCAAAAGGTCAGCAGTTCAAACTCACCAGGCAATTCACAGGAGAAAGATGTGTCAGTCTGTCTCCATAAAGATTTATCGTCTCGGAAACCCTTAGCAGCAGTTCTACTCTGCCCTACAGGGTCACTATGAGTCAGAACTGACTCAATGCCAGTAAGTAAGGAGCCAAGAGCAGTTAAGCACTCAGCTGCTTATACACCAACTGAAAGGCTGGCAGTTCAAACCTACCCAGTAGCTCCACATAGAAAAGATCTGCCAATCTACTTCAGTAAAGACATAGCCAATTCTCAGCCATAACCAAAGACTTTTAGGGACACTCATGACTACAGGAGCCCAAGACATCAAGGTCAACTGGCACAAAACAGGCCACAGAGACAATATTCTATATCCTAGTTTTATATGTTGCAGATACATCTAAGATGCAACTACTGGTCTCTCCCAGTCCAGAACAAAGAGTGAAGAAAACCAAAGACACATGGAAACAATTAGTCCAAAGGACTAATGAACCATACAAAATCTCAGCCTCCATGACACTTAGACCAGAACTAGATAGTGCCTGGCTACCACTGCTGACTGCTCTGAAAGGGATCACAATGGAAGGTCCTGGACAGGGTAGGTAAAAAATGTGGAACACTCAAAATTTTTTAAAAAGTGAAAAAAAAAAAAAAAAGCCCAGGTTTACTGGTCCGAGTCTGGTGGAATCCCTGGGATTATGGCTCTTAGCAGCTCTGGTAGCATAGTGACTAAGGCACTTGACTACTAACCAGAAGGTTAGTTCAAACCCACCAGCCACTCCTCAGAAGGAAGGTTGGGCAATCTACTTCTGTAGTGATACTGCCTCGGCAATCCAAGGAAGGGTCACTATGAGTCGGGGCTGACTCAACGGCACATAAACAACAACAACAACTTGGCTCTTAGTAACCCTTTCAGCGTGGAATTCAACTCACCGAAATGGCTCAACTTTCAGCCAAACAACAGACAGGTCTATAAGGTGAGCAAGGAGCTCTGGTGGCACAGTGGTTAAAGAATTCGGCTGTTAACCGAAACGTTGGAGGTTTGAACCCACCAGCCACTCTACAGGATCGAATAGCAACAGATTTGGTTGGGTTTATCTGGTGAACAATTAACACCAGGGGAGGGAGCACTGCTTAGAACAATCAACTATCCCAGATCAAAAAACGGCAACATTTGCCCAGGGATAAAGCTCAGAAGGCAGAAGGGATAGGGAAAAAAGGATGAATGGAAATGGGAAACAAGGGGAGTAGTGGAAAGAGTGCTATTATATTGTGAAGGTTGCAATCAATGTGATGAAGTGTTGAAAAGTAATTTGCTCTGTAAATCTGCACTCAAATCAAAATAAAAAGTTAAAAAAAAAAAAAAAGATTAGAACCAAGAAAACCCTATGGGGTAGTTCTACTGTGTCACATGGGAGCTCTCGCAGCATAGTGCCTAAGGCACTAAACTGCTAACCAGAAGGCTGGTGGTTCAAATCCACCAGCCACTCCTCAGAAGGAAGGCTGGGCAATCTACTTCGTAGTGATACTGCCTCAGAAACCCAAGGAACGGTCGCTATGAGTTGGGTACAACTCAAGGGCACATAACAACACTGTTTCACACGGGGTCACTATGAATCAAAATCAACTTGATGGCACCTAATTGGTGGCTTAGTGGATAAGGCTTTTGGCTGCTAAACAGAAGGTGAGTGGTTCAAACCCGCCAGTCACTCCATGTAAGATGGGGCAAGATTTACAGCCTTATAAACCCAACGGGGGTCCCTATGAGTCAGTATCGACTCAATGGCAGTAAGTTTGGTATTTTTGGTTTTTTAACAAGAAAAAAAAAAAAAATCACCAAGCGGTATGGACCACAATAGTTACTTTACAGCAGCTAGTAACCATCTCTCCCACTACATGAACAAAACTCACAAAAAAAAAAAACAAAAAACCACCATGGAGGTAGGATGACCTAAAGCTAAGAAAGCAATATGGCTAGCCTTTTCAGTGACCAGGTAAGTATTTTCTTGGCTTATGCTCTTTAACTTGAGTTAATTGTGTGAATATATTACACTTAGAAAATGAGATCATTAGCAAGGTAGGTGAAAGAAATGTCTGAAGTGCTATAAAAATGTCCTGTCATTGTAAATGGAAAACACCACAAAAGGAACCTTCCTAAAATAGAGCTCAGTAAGTATTTGCTAAAATAAATTTATTGCATTATGTGCATTCTCGCTTATGAACAAACTGATTTTAAGCAACCTACCACGAACCCTCCATTATGACATACAAGTTTAATTTCAAATAATTGTAGCTCCTAACTTTTAGAACTCCCCAAGTTATATGATTATGATGTGTTTACGGAGGTGGCTCATTTCAAGTGGACAATGAAATGAGTAACAGACATCTAGTCCAGTTCCAATTCCCCCACTTCCCCCAAGCAACTATTATGACACTACTTTGGTCCAAGAAAGTCGTAAAACTGATGCAAAAACGGGGGAGAGTGGGGGAGTGGAGGAAAGGGTTTTCAGTTAGAGATCCAAAAAAGGTGAATAAAATTCGTTCTAGGTATAACGTGGCAAGAGAAATCGCAGTACGTGGCAGAACGTACCTCCCAGGTAACCTAGAGACTGAAACTCCGCAGGTTAAGGGCTGCGGCGGACGGGCAGTGTCAGCGGAGGCCTACGGGGCCGCTCCTGCTTACCAGGCAAGAATGCAGACCACACCTAGAAGCCCGGCCAACACAGGGCGGGGCGGCAAAGCCTCGGCCGTGGGCTTGAGGGAGAGACGGGAAGAAGGGGGAGGCTGAGGGAGAATGGCTTTGGATAATACCCACTCCCCAGCCCCGCGCCCACCTCAAGAGTGTCTCGAGAGAGCCCTCGTGCTTGTCGAGCGGACGGCCGAGTGCGGCGCGGCGCAGCTTGCTGAGCTCTTCGGCCGCGCGGCAGTACTGGGCCTGCTCCTCGCCGCCGCTCGGGTACGTCTGCTGGATGAACTTCACCAGCGGTTTGGCCAGGTCCACCTCCGAGGTTTTCTTCAGCTGAACTGAAATGAACGTCGCCATGGCGAGCGCCTCAGCCGCCGCTCGAGTCAAAGGAACGGCCGGACCACAACGAAGGCAGAGGTGCTCTGGGCACCGGACGGACGGACCGACAAGGGGATGGACGTGCACTCAGCCTGAGCTTTTGCCCGAGCCACTTCCGGGAGGTTCCGCGCAGACGCGCCACGCGCAGGGCGGGAGCACCGCCGATGGTCACGTGAGAGAGACGCAGCTACGCCGATCACCTGATGCCATTGGGTCTTGCCCGTGCTTTGAGCCAGTGGCTTTCTCAGTTTCAGTAACTGTTCTTTTTCTCCTTACTGCCGTGGTTGGCGGACTGAGTGCTGTGCCGTACTAGTAATTGTCCCTTCACTCCAATAAATTCCTGGTGAAGTACTCTTTTTACTACCACCTGCGAGAGGTTGCGACGAACTGCCCAACATCTTGCACTCTGGGTTATTGTAATCTGTGGTATCTCATTTAACTAGTATTGATCGGCTACTGTGTACATCTACTGAGTGGACTGTGAACCTGGAAGGCAAGATCCTTCCCCTTGTGCAAGCTTTATAGTCAGGTAAGGACACAAACATTACACATCGTGAAAGAAAAAACAGGGTGCTTGGGATGAAAGATGTTAGGGTCGCTTCGAAGAAGCTCATTTATTTTATTTAATTTTCATTGTGATTTGGGTGAGAGTTTAGAGAGTAAATTTATTTTCCATACACAGTTGATACACATTTTGTCTCATGACATTGATTGCAATTCCCCACAATATAACAGCTGTTTTCCCACTTCCTCTTCCTTGTGCCCTTCCCTCCCATGCACTCCCGCCCCTCCACCTGTCCTCCAATGCAAACACTGCCATCTGTTCTCCTACAATGATCTTTCTAAGGAGCGTATCTACCTGATGTAAATGTTCACTCCATATGTCTTTCTTTTGTTTGGCTGGAAGCCAGAGGAGTTCAGTTCCAGACCTGTAAGGTAACTAAAGGCCATAGTCTCAGGGGTCTCACCAGGCTCTATCAGACCAGCAAACCTGGTATTGTTTTTATGATTTTAAGTTTTGTTACACGTTGTCAAAGAACCTCATTTAAATAAGATACAATAAAATCTGCCAAAGAGCCTGTGTAGACAGAAACCTGACGGAAGTAAACTCAAACATTTTCCACTAGTGGAGAATAAAAGGAAAGTGGCAAGATTGAACCCTGTCAATGGTGGAAAACTTGTGAGACCCAGAAAAACAAGGCAGTCTGTTAGTTCTGCTCTCACTGGTTTCACTGTAATTAGAAAATTACTAATTTACTACCACTTACTTGGAGTAATATCTTCTCCAAGAAAGGGAACTTAAAATGACACCTTAATTAAGTTTGAGATAATGCTTGACATTAGAAGAGGAGAGTGAGGGGATGGAGTGTCAAGGGAGAGCCTATACCATATAAGAGGACAGCAAGAGCAAAGGCCCTAGGAGGCTAGAACTGCCTGCCCATGTATAGGATGCTGAAACAAAACATATGACAAAAATGTAAAAACCAAATAGAGAATGGAATAAAATACAGTTGGAATAGTAAGCAGGCATTAAATCATTCAGAACCTTATATACTGAGATAAGGAATTTGTACGCTAAATGCAAAATAAATGGTTTATGATACAACTTATTTTTTCTAAAGGCCATCTTGTGGATCTTCCTGATACTGTGTCTCTTGATAGGATTTAGTATAAAGTAAGCATCATCTATGGAGCTCTGGTGACGTAGTGCCTAAGGCATTTCACTGCTAACCACAAGGCTGATGTTTCAAACCCACCAGGCACTCCACAGGAGGAAGGGTGGGCAATCTACTTCCATAGTGATACTGCCTCAGAAACCCAAGGAGGAGTCGCTATCTGACTCAACAGCAGTGAGTTTGGTTTTGGTTTTTAAACATCATCTATGATGTTTCCAGGCAAAAATGTTTAACTTGAATCCATAAAACCTTTCCTTCTAACACACAATTTTCAGGAAATAGAGGATAGAGGAACTAACTAAATGACACCATAGGAAGTAACCAAAAAAAAAAATCCAGAAAGTGGAACATTTTGCAGAATAACTGGCCCCATTTCTTCAACAATTCATGAAAAACAAAGACTGTGCTCTATGAAAAGAAACATAAGGGTCATGACCGTCTGGACTGAATTGTGGTTTGAACAGATTATCTATAAATACACTTTCAGTACAACTGGAGGAGTTTGAATATTGCCCCAACAGTTTCTTTTAGAAAGATCAGCACAAGGCTGGTCCCCATGAGGCAGAGGTTAAAGATGTCCCAAATGTCTAAACTACCATGCCACTCCATCATTTCAGACATTAACTCCTCCTCTCGATAATCTCCCTCCTGTCTTAGGGTTCTTAATTTTGCTGTAACATCTCACAGAACTCAAAGACATCCAAGGGATTGTCTCATGTAGTGGTGGTGGAAGTTGGAAGGCTGGCAGGCTGGTAAGTCCCAGGTCTGTAAGTAGTTCTGGAGGATCCTCCCAATTCTCAGGGTTTGACTAACCTAAATCAGCAGATCAGATAACAGTTGCTGTCTCAAATCCAGGGGTGAAATGACAATGAGCCAAAACACAGAACCAGAGCAAGAGAGAGAGCAAACCTTCCCCGAAGATTCCTATATATACCCTTAAGGAAGCTAAGGGTGGTGTTTTGAGTTACCTCCTCCACCAAGGTGGGATTCGAGATATATCCCACCTGTTGTGGTTACTTTGTTCTGCTCCAACAGAAATACCCCAAAAGGATGACTTTAACAATCAGGAATTTAAAAGCAGCTACTCAGTTGCTCATGGAAAATTCCACCATGGAGTTGATTGCCAGTCATTATAGGGAATAACTACTAACTAGCTGCCCAGCCAAGTTGACACACGACCTTAACTACCACACCACCCTGAACAGGCATGGATAATAGGATTTACAATACATAACCAAATGGAGGACAATGGCTAAAAGGGCCACATCATGCAATTCACCACACATATACATAAATAAGATAGAAAAGTATTGTGGAAAAGTGGAGATCATTAAAAAGAGCAGGTATATATATTATGATATTTTTTTTAAAAAAATGCATATTTTTGTATATAGAAGAATAAAAAAATCTGGAATGATGTACTCTAAGGTATAAATGATCATAATGTTTGGCAGAGAAAATGTGTATTTTTATTTTATTTCTAACTATTTTTTACTTTTTGCCTAATTATAATATTCTATGTTAAAATAAATAAAATAGCCACCCTGGCTGGTGTGTAGGGAATGTGTTAGAGGAGGGCAGGAATGGAAGAAGGATGACAAATTGTAAGACCATTTCAGAAATCCAGGCAAAAGATCATGAAAGCTAAATATTAACAAGAGTGGGCCAAACTAATATGTTTTTTAGTTAAAACCTGAAGAATTTACTGATAAACTGGATAGGGAGGTCACAAAAGGGGAGTGATCAATGTTGACACCCAGTTTGGGGGCCTGAACATCTGAGTGGTCAGTGAAATCACTTATTGAGGTAAGGAAGATTCCAAAACCAAACCAAACTCATTGCCATCGAGTCAGATCCAACTCATAGCAACCCCTCCTTGGGTTTTCGAGGTGGTATCACTACAGAAGTAGATCACCCGGTCTTCCTTCCAAGGAGTGGCTGGTGTGTTTGAACCGCCAGCGTTCTGGTTAGCAGTCAGATGCCTTAGGCACTACGCTGCCAGAGAGATGAACAAATTGGAGAGAGTGGTGTTCAAATACAGTCAAAGGGAGTTATTAAATTGACAATTTGTTATGACTGTTCACCACCTCACCCAATTGATGAGGGAGTGATTCTGCCCTAGCTTTATGGGGATGACCAGACACATGACACCTGACACCTGGCACTGGACAGATGAAATCTATAACAGTTTATTAATCACAAGTACTGAGACCAGGGGAAAACGGCCCCTGGCCCACATAGGACCACACAGGGGTTTCACTCAAGAACAAAGTGAACAAGTAAAGGCGGTGAGAAGCAGGCTTTATAGTGACAAGTAACAGGAGTAATCCCTGGTTCCTGCTGGAATATGTAATTAATTTATTTGAATAGCTTGTTACCTTATTTGAATAATTGCACAGACTGGCAAGGAACTGAAAGAACTCAGGGATATGCAGGCCCTGTACTTGGTACCCATGATAAAGGAGGGTTCTTTGGCCAGATGACTTTATGCACTGGAGCACAATGGGAGCCCTGGTGCTACATTGGTTAAAAGCACTTAGCTGCTAACCAGAAGGTCAGTGGTTTGAATTCACCATCAGTCCACAAGATAAAGACGAGGAGTCTGCTACTGTAAAAGATTTACAGCCTTGGAAACCCAATGGACAGTTCTACACTGTCCTACAGGCTCAGTATGAGTCAGAATTGACTCAATGGCAGTGGAGTTGGGGATCACAATGGAGAGAGGAACTTTCAATCGGACCATTCAAGGCCCACTGCTTTTCTCCAGATGTCAAGGCACAAATAATATTGGGTCTTAATATTACGCTGTAAACCACAATAAGAGTAAAGTTCTGAGAAGAAGTTTGGGTTGGGAGTCAGGATACAAATTACTTTTAAGCCCCTGGGACTAAAAGGAAACACAAAGAAATAAAAATGGGACAAAGTTATTAGGAGATATGGTGTGTTAGACTGGGTTCTCTAGAGAAACAAAACCAGTAAAGGTTATATAGAGAAAGAGAAATTTCTCTTAGGAAAATGCCTCACACACTTATGGAAGCTGGCAAGTCCCAAGTTCTTGGATCAAATGTCAACCTGGAGGCTTTTCCCGATTCTCGCAGCTCTAGGGGCTGAGGAGCTCAAGATGACAGGCAGTATACTGGCTGTTGACTCCAACAAATGACAAATCCAAGATCTCCAGGCCGAATGGTGGGTTGTTCACTCACAGACAGTTGTAGGCAGCACAACAGAATCCCAATCCACAGAAGAATGTCTCTTTTCCCAGGATGTCCATAAATATACTGGAAGCAGGACACAACCCTGGGAAAACCCCTTCAACAGATTTGCTGCTCAAAACATATTCGTCTGATCCCATCATGGGAATAACCACATCACAACTGCTTAAACCACACAAAATTGTGGTCCAGCCAAGTTGACACACAGC